TATATTATTATTATTATTATTTATTATAATCATATTAGCCACTATAGGGACCCACTCTGCTAGGCATACCCATAGTAAGCAATGGTCCCTGAGTTAAAGAGTTTACAGTCTAAATAAACCAGACAAGAGTGCAGGAAGTATTACTATCTCTGCTTACGGACCATGCTTAGGGCTTGTCTACACTGGGAACTTATTCTGAAATAAGGTGAGAATTGAAAGTGTTATAGCTATTCTGGAATAACTCACCATATGGACCCTTTATTTCAGAATAAGAGTGTTCTAGTCAATTTTCCCATGGAGTCAGATGCCCATTACAGTAGTATCTGAGACCCAGATCCACAAAAGGACTTAGATGCTGTTACATTCAGCATTGCCAGATGTAGAATATCACAGGAACAGCTCTACAATTCACAAAGTCTGAGTAAGGCACTTAGGCACCTACACAATGAATGGGGAGCGATAGGTGCTTTAGAATGAGATCTACAGAGGTGCATATCTCTGCTTGTGATTCACAAACTGGAGGAAAATAGGCATTCAGATGCTTAAGTTGCGTGTAGGGCCTCAGCTAATAGGCATTCTTAGAGGCTGTCTACTGGATTGGGCCCCTCAGGTGTGGTCACACAGAACAGCTGGGGAAAGAGGAAGAGGACCTCCCTTATAAGTTATAACCTTTAGCCTCACGGTTAGCATACTCACCCAACATGTAGAAGGCTACTGGTTCAAGTCTTCCCTGCCTGATGGGAAGGGATTTGAATAGGGATCTGACACCTCTCAAGTATGTGCCCTAACCACTAGGCTATACAGCCATTCTAACTTTTTTTACTAGCCTAATTAATACTTATTTAATTAAAGTGGAATAACTTCAACAGAAGAGATTGAGGGAGCTGCTGTACATCAGCACATTCCATAGGCTAGTGGTAAAAGCACGTGTGAGCAGTCGTAGATCACTGTTCAAATACCTTCTCCTCAGGGGCATGCGCTGGAATTTAAATTTGACCGCTTTTGGAGGGGTGCGTTATACCATATCAACACATGCATATACATCATATGCAAGGAAATAACAGTACACACACCATTTCAGTGAAAATACATGCACCGTGGAGCCATCTGAATAAATGTATTCACAAGTACTTGGCTGCGGCAGTGTCATAGAGCTCCTCTGGCCCCAGGGCTGCAGTGGGGACAGGGCCAGCTCCAGGCACCAGGCAACCAAGCACATGCTTGGGGCGGCACCTGGTAAGGGGCGGCCAATCTTTGGGGTGGCGGGGGGCAGTGCGGCGCAGCATTCCGCGGGGGGCGGGGGGCGCTCCGGCGGCGCGGCGTGCGGTGGGGGGGCGGCGCTCGGGGGGGTTCCGGGGGACAATGAGGGACAAGGTCCCTCCTCCTGCAATATGTAGATGACTTGTTAATTGCCGCTGTGGGTCTAATCCCTTGCCTTAAAGCCACTGTGAGCCTCCTAAACTTTGCTGGACTCCGAGGATATCGGGTAGCACAGAGTAAGGCTCAGATTGCCCTCACAGAAGTACAACACTTAGGGCTTCACATAAGGCAGGGAGAGCGCCAGCTTTCAAACGAAAGAAAGGAAGTTATCTGCCAAATTCCTATCCCAAGCAATCATAAACGGCTCAGGGTGTTTCTGGGCATGGCAGGCTTCTGCAGAATATGGATCCCAGAGTTTGGACTGTGGGCTAAACCCTTGTACGAATGCGTTAAGGGAGTGGATCACGACCCCTTTCACTGGTCCTCAGAAGCCGACAAGGCATTTAAGGCTTTAAAAAGGAAAGCTATTGGACACCAGAGGTTGTACCAAGTGGAATCCTCAAAAGTGGGTGTGCTCGCCCTGGTTTGTTGCTTCAAAGCTCTGTATAGAAGTTATTTTACTGGAAGGGTGTATAATGGCAATGTGTATGTGTTCATTGTTGGGAAAAGGTGTATGAGTGAAAAGTGGAAGTTTCCTTTGTAGGTTAAAAGAAGCCAAGAAAGGGAGAAGGAAAAAGAACAGAACGAGTTAACTGGAAAATATAGCTAGCAAGCTCAGTCCAAAGATAAGATGCTGGCCCCATCCAAGGACATTGTTCACAGCTAAGACTTGGCTGACAACCAAGAAAAGGGGGGCCTGAATGTGCCCAAGCAACTATGAGATCTGCAAAATACTGCCAGGCATTAATGAAATGTGTTAGGTTTCTTTTCTCACAGATAAAAGAAGTGCTAACCAAAGACCATAGCAGCCCTGGGTCTGCTGGACCTCACTAAGCCGCTCCAACTGTATGTGCATGGAAGGAAAGGGGTGGCCCTGGGAGTGCTTACTCAGTTATTGGGCACCTGGAAACATCCCGTGGCATATTTCTCTAAACAACTGGATCGAGTTGCCAAAGGGTGGCCAGCATGTTTACAGGCGGTCGCAGCAACTGCCCTAGTGCTTGGGGAAGCCGAGAAACTGACACTGGGGGGAATTGTGCAAGTGTATACTCCCCACATGGTCCAAGCCCTGCTGGATACTAAGGGTGGTCTCTGGCTTACACAGGCTCGGGTAGCTCGGTATCAGGCTAAACTGTTAGAAAATCCTGAAGTTACCCTACAGACCTGTCCCTCCCTTAACCCAGCCACCCTGTTACTGGAGACAGAGGAGCAGGAACACGACTGTTTGGAGGTCATAGATGCCCAATACTCCAGCTGCCCGGACTTAAAAGATCAGCCGCTCCCTAATGCAGACTGTGAGTGGTACACCGACGGCAGTGGTACTGTTACAAACGGACAAAGGAGGGATGGCTCCACTCCATGGAAGGAAAAATCCTCCTACCGAAGAATCTAATATGGCTAGTGCTACAGAAACTACATCAGACCACCCACGCTGGCAGAGAGGCTTCCCTACGGTGGCCTGATGCTTTGCCCCTTGTTTTGCTCCGAGTTCGCGCTCTCCCTAAGGGCAGATTAGGACTCAGTCCCTTCGAGATTATGTTTGGAAGGGCATGGCCTATGAACGGTACACCGGTTCTGGCAGGGGAGTGGGAAATGGGGTGTGGCTTTTTATCTCAGTATATGTGCTCTCTGTCTGCTGTTCTCTGTTCTCTCCACAGGTATACCAGCGATTTGCAGCCACTCCCGCTGGATGCCCCTGTCCACTCCCTGCAACCTGGTGACTCCGTTCTCGTTCGGACCTGGAAGGACGAGCGTCTCCAAGAGAAGTGGAAGGGACCCCACACCGTCCTGCTCGTCTCCCACACAGCAGCAAAGGTCGAGGGACACAAGAACTGGATTCATCACTCCCGTCTGAAGGCAGTGCCCGCTCCTGAACGCTGGACCGTCCAGCCTACGGAAAAGGACTACCAGCAACGATCTGTGACTTAAACTGTTATTCAAAAGACAATAAGGTCTACTGGGAATGCCCTGTGATCTCTTTGGACAGTCGCAGCGCACTCCCCGCTAAAACTCTGATCATTGGTTGTGTTTATTCTCACAGGGCTGGCCTAACCTGGTGGCCTGGTCCCTTTTGTTTTTAGGCTGCCTGCTATTGGTAATTGTTATTTTGTGAGTATTTGGGGAATTGTAATTGTTAAGCCCCAGGGTCACCTGCCCAAAAATGGAATCAGGTCCAGGGTCTGCCACTGTGTTACTCTTTGCCATAGGGGCATTCCTCTCATTGACTCCCATTTCCCCCACAGGCTTTCGAGCAGTGGAAGGCCCAGGAAAGGGAACCCACAGTTT